CGCCGCTCCATTACCTCATGGCTTGTAAGGCTGGATTCACATAAAATCCCTATACGCTTGATTGCACGCCCTTAATTATTGAACAGATACATGTTTCTTTTCAATGGATGGGGTAATTAATAGACTATCAGTAAATTGAATTCAACACTTCCTGGCGGTTTAACACTGTTTATAATCTGTAGCTGCTTATTCAAACCAATGTGAAAAGGGTACGAATGGAGGTTATTGTGGTTTGTTTTGTGTTTTGATACACACACGCCCACATTGGTAGTAAACAGATTGAGCTATACAGATGAAAAATGAGCAAACTTAAGACTAATGTTTTCAGTTAACGTTTGCTAAATATTAAACAAATATTAAACAAATACAGGTTACGGTGTTAACAATAAAACATTGCATTTGGGGTTCCTGCTACACATCTACATAAATAGTTCATCTTATTTGGGAAGGCTAAATATTTACACTGTGCTTTTTAAAGCAAACAAGTGTATATGCCAATTTTCCTCTCATATTGAATGTCCCTTTCAATGAGAATGTATAATAATGACATTTTCTGTGTATTGTTGATATTTATGATTTTTTTCTTACTCTCTAATGTGCCTGTGAGTAATAATACCTGAAATTCAAATTTAAATACATAATTTTCACCAAAGTTTGTACATATATATTTTGCAGGCGATATTCAGATGGTCTCAAAACATCAGCTAAGAAGAATATGTTTTGCCCATAGGCTACTAAAATAACATGCTTGTATATCACAAACGTTAAATTGGTTCCTTATGGTGTACAAATTTTTTAAAAATATGAACAACATTACAACGTTTCATATTCATCTTATTCTACTCACATCTATTAATGTTATTCTGAAATTCTTTCATTCAATCCAATCGCTTAAAATATAATTTGATTGCTCATTGATGTATTCATATTTATAGGTACATTTATATCAATATTACAAATTTGCAAATCTATTATTTCATGAATTGCGTTCTCTAATTTATCTTCCCAACATATTTCTCCTTTGTCAGTCCTTCCATCTTTCTCGTCTGATAGTAAACGATAGCACATTTATAACTACAACTTAACAGATAAAATTATTACTTAAAGAATATATTGCTATCTGTATTCTTGTTCACCATCACTATTTTAAAATAATGAACATCTTTCTCCCGTCACTTTAATAGGGATACTGATAAACAATGAAATACAGAACACCCACAGACCACAACCGAAATAAATTACCCCACTAATGCGTTTAAAAACGCGACTGACTTTACAGGGGTTAACTGCAGATATAATTTATAGAATGACAATCATCGGTTGCCATCTCGTAAACTGATAACACATGTCACTTACCTTTTTGTCTTTTCTTTAACATACCATGGTAAATTGGTTTGGAAGCGCTTTTCCAAGAAGTGAAGGCACTATTAATATTCGCTCATTGTAAACGAAAAGTTTGATTGTACAAAAGGATATATGGAGGCATATGGACTGAAGCAACAGAGCTTAACTTATTTTGTATATTAAAACAGTCTTCAAAAATCCTGTAATGAAATATCCAGAGGGGAAAGGTTTCGTCTGTTCGTTGCGAAACATCTACATTATATTCACACCTGAAATTTCTCTGTTTCAACCTACTATTACGACACACGATCAGATTGAATTCATAGTCACTTTGTGGAGCTACCAGACATCAATGTTTATACACAGGAAGGTATTTTACAAACATAGTGAGTGTATTCATTGTGCTGTGCTCTTACAGTACTCTATATACGTAGTGGGTTCGAAAAAGTGCCTGATTCTATACCTTTTAAAACTCGATTTAAAATAAAATAACATTGGATATTTATATGCGTTATATCTCTCCAATGCAATAAATAAACAAACGCAGGTAAACTGACGTTGTCTTATTGGCCACATGTATATTACAATTTAGATTTTCGAGGATTTTTTTAACCAGAGGTATGCATCAACAGATTAGATAGTACACTTATTATAATCCATGCTTAATAAATTCATATTCATTGCTATACAAATGAGGAAGAGAGAGGTACCTAAATATCAAATATGTAGCTGCCGAATAGTTTGATATATCCTCCACACAAAAAAACTATCTGCTCTGATTAAGTCTGTTTTTATTGATGTGTTTTAAAGAAGGGGGTTACAGTGTTTGACCGTAGGTCATAGGTCATATGACCCAAAAGTGGTCAAAGAAAGCAAAATCAAAGGTAATTTGTAACTTAATAGTCATTTGATTAACTCATTGAATGTATGGCTTTCACGAGCACAGACAACGATGTACATCACGTTTTGCCCCTGGAAAGTGTGAGACTGGGAGCCTTACAAACCCCACAACTCGGTATAAACAGAGCAAATAAATACACGTACAAAAATCGATCAATTGTCCCAATCAAATAAAATAATAATGGCCCACTCTGAATTTATAAAATGTGCATCGCAGGGTGGCTGTATCATAGCACTCAAACAACAGTAACACTTAAATGCCATGCCGTACACACAAACAGGTAATGAGCACCATTTTCCAGAATCAATCTCCAGATGTAACTTTTTTTCCATTCAGGCTACTTTTTCAAAATAAATTCTGGTTCGCAGTAAAAAGCTTATAGCACGGCAGATTCTGAGCAACATCAATCCTCTACATTACATTCAGCCAAAATATAAAGACAAATAACATGTTGTAAAGCGGAACGATTAAGGTCTCAGTTTTAACAGATTTCTAAATGTCTCTTCAAAGCCTTGTATAAGTTATTGATTCTTGATTTTTTTTTTACTTTGCCTGTTATTTAAATTTAGCAAATGTTATTTAAATTTGGTTATTGTGGTTATGCTCAACATGTGTTTCAAAACTAACAAGAATGTAACCACCCGGTTAAAGAGACTGAATTAAATAATCCCCAGTCAGCTTCGGGGATATCATAATGCAGTTCTTTTCAAAGTTCAACCTGATCGACAAAATTATTCACATAAAACTTGTCAGAAATATGGCGGTGCCTCCCACAGTCTGCTTTAGCTAACTTTATTCAAAATTTATGACAAGGTTGATATAGATGAAAGAGGATGCTGTAGAGGTTTCATTGTTGGCAGTTATTAAAACAAGCCTGGAGGCTAACAAAAGAAGTGCTGTCTCTATGATACAGAGTGGAGATTTTAAATAAAGCTAAGTAGATGAAGACATTCCTCTCAGCCCTTAGTGCACCATCGTTCACATACTAGGTTCGTTCCTTACCTCTTGAAACCTGTTGAAGTACTATTAAGTGAACAGACACCGTCCCTTGGCTAATCGGCCTCCCACTGCCCAGTTTCAGCTCTTGTCTGCCTTTCTCGAGATGGCACTGAAATGCGAATCAATGTTCCTATTTCTTTCTTCTTCTATTGCAAACCCGGTGACCAGGGAGAGGTTTTGCGGTTTGCAGAGAAATAATACAGCTCTTTGGAGAAGTCGGCAAACGTGACTTTGAACTTGGATCAGCAACTGCGTTTCCTTCAGAGTAGCTCTAGAGAAGTGAAAGAATAGCAGAGAGCCCAGGCTGCTCGGCTCAGACAGGAATTAGTGAATTAACTGCCACCAAAACTTTACTCTTAAAAAAAAACTTACAGACCAAAATTAAATTAGTAGGAAGAACAATCACGGGGCAGGAGCAAAGCAGGAATCTAAAATGAACATAAAACTCCAAATTGTATGTGCATAAACTAAAACCAAGCGTTTTCGCCTTGTTTTGTTTCTGTTCTCACAAACTATTTACTATTAGACATACATTATATGTTTTTGCGCTACCCGCAGAACAAGTAACGTCATTTCTGAAGAATGCAGAAGCGGTACATTGGAAGCAAAAGACAACGCATTGCAATGCGGGTGATTTACAAGAAGTGGATTGTTTTCGTTGCATTTGGTAAGCCTTCTGTTTCTGAAGCCGGCCTTTTAAAACAAGGTCTGGCCTTAGTTTTGGCACTAGTGACCTCTTGCAAAAACAAATGGTAGTGACGAGCGGGGTGATAGAATCGTGCTATTAGCTCATTTAAATAAAGAAATAAATGATTTTGTTTGACTAAAAGAAACTTGCATTTTCAGAAATAAGCAATTACATTTCTTCATATCTCTCCCCAAAATGATCACTGTTTAACCACACCTCTACATTAAAAAATCGAAAATAGGTAACAAAAACTAAATGCAGTTTTTATTGCAAAAATATTGAAAATGATGTACATTTAGTGGGTGATATATTGAATTAAGACCTTTTTTTTCTGTCAAAACCCCTTCCAAACAGAGCCCTTGTTTAAAGACAAGCGGGTGAACGGCTTTTTTCTTTTCTCTCGCATCTGAAATCTGACCAGCACCAGACTCGGCTGCCTCACCAAAGCGATATCTCAGAGCTTCGGCTGGAAATTCATCTGACAAGTTCGCGAGAGAAAAAAAAATAGCAAAACAAAAAAAAGTTATTTGACTCGCATCACGGTACTTACATGTAAAAAATGCACCAATTAAAAAGGGGGGAAAGGCGCATTTGTATACTGGAGGATCAATGTTCCCCCAATTTGATCACAGTCATTAAAACGGATTTCGATTAAGTTTATTGCCTGGCAGTGCAAACACACTACCTACATATTTGTGAGAAAAGGAGTGGCGCAGCAATGGCCGTTCTGGAGAAAAACAAATCAAAGTAGGCGTAATTAATGAAAAATGGCGACCCTTTTTGAGCAGCTACCTGGGATGGATGAGGCGAAGCTGTCCAATCAAAAGCGATTAGAAAGTGGCCGGTGTCCTGTTTAAAAGGGGTGTTGGGAGAGGCGCTGCCAGTCCAGGCAGCCATCGCACTCGCATCATATGACAAGAATCGGGACAAGCTTACGGTCCCCATTCATCGTCAGGATGCTCTTATCTCTCCTCCTCATTTATCTGCCTTTCTGATTACCACTATCACCAGCAACACTGCATCTACTGAGTCAGGAAGAGAGAGAGAGAGAGAAAGCCACAGAGAGAGAGAGAGAGGCTTCAAACAACACCACGCTTCCTTCCTCCGTGGGAATTCGTGCTGCAAACAAAACTTCTACGTGATCGCAATATTAAAAAAAACAAAACTGCTTCAGAAGACCAGAAGCAAAAGTTGGCGCGATAATTCGCCTCGATTTATTTATCGGCGGTATTTTTTTTCTCCAAAAAGCAAGAACCCAATAAAGGCTGCTCGCCCGCCTCGACCCCGCTCGCTGGATGTGCGGACGGCGCGGCGCCGGCTGACCGTGCGGGGGCTGCCTCACCACCACAACAGGGGGAAGACCGTCTGAGAAGTTGCTGTTTGCTCAGGGGTTGCGGGGCTCGCTGGCTTCTCCCTGATCGAGGAGGATGCTGCTGGACGGAGGACCGCAGTTCCCGACCCTGGGGGTGGGCAGCTTCGCCAGGCACCACTCCACCGCCGACATGTCGGACAGAGACCTGGGTTTGGCGCAGAACACCTTCGTCGACTCGGCCCACATGGGCGCTTTCAAGCTGAACCCGGGGGTTCATCACGACCTCTCGGCTGCAGGACAGGGCTCAGCCTTCAGCTCGCAGACTGCGGGGGGCCCGGGGTACGCGGCCGCATTGGCTCCTCACTCCGCCCATGTAAGCTCTTACTCGGGCGCAGCTTTCAACTCCACCCGGGACTTTATCTTCCGCAGCCGCGGCTTCAGTGACTCGGGCCCCGGGGGCAGCCAGCACGGCATCTTCGGTCCCTCCCCGGGGAGCCTCCATCACCCACATTCGGACTCATCGGGGCACATCTTGTTCCCGGGGATTCACGACCAAGGGGGGTCCCACCAGTCCCCAAACGCTCATGTCCTCAATGGGCAGATGCGCTTGGGCCTCCCGAGCGAAGTGTTCGGTCGATCGGACCAGTGTCCAAGGACTGACCCTTACGCGGCAGCCCAGCTCCACCACCACCACAACTACGGCCACATGAATATGAACATGGGGATGAACATGGCAGCGCATCACGGCCCCGGAGCCTTCTTCAGATACATGAGGCAGCCCATCAAGCAGGAGCTCATCTGCAAATGGATAGATCCCGAGCAGATGAGTAATCCCAAAAAGTCCTGTAACAAAACTTTCAGCACCATGCACGAGCTGGTCACCCACGTCTCGGTGGAGCACGTTGGCGGACCCGAGCAAACGAACCACATCTGCTTTTGGGAGGAATGTCTGAGAGAGGGGAAGCCTTTCAAAGCCAAATACAAACTGGTGAATCATATCAGGGTCCACACGGGAGAAAAGCCCTTTCCCTGCCCCTTCCCGGGCTGCGGCAAAGTTTTCGCGAGATCGGAGAACTTAAAGATCCACAAACGCACCCACACAGGTAACTGAGCTTCTCTCCCCTCCCCTCCCCTCCCCTCCTGCTCTGCTCTGCTCTGCTCTGGCCAGTGTGCCCTCCCTCCCAGTAAGGCTGAGATGTTGGTGAGCTCCATTAGCCGAGAGAGCCAGACATAGCCCAGTGACCTGATGGTGAAGAGACGGTGCTTCGAAATCTCATTTTCCCAATCGCCATACAGAAAGCGATCGAAATTTTTCCTTTGCCTCGCGTGAAAATAAAAGCAAAATTAGACCCGCTTCACTCCCGATGAATTCGCTTTGTAAAACACTTCGAAAACCCGTCTCCGAAGTAGTCTTCTGTTTGGCGTTGGGAACGGTAAGGCTTAATGCCAGGAGCAATGCAATCCTTCGAGCCTTTTTTGAATAAAGCTCGTAGCTCGGAAGTTACCATCATCTTCTACGTTTTAAAACTTAATTTGTTCAGATTGATATTTGAGCTCTGTTAGACTGAACCCTATAAATGTTCTACAAATAATAGCATTTTGCCCCTTTTTGCATTTAAAACAACCCGCATTTATGTCGGAATTCCTGTTGTAAACTTAATTCTTCAGTCATATGGCAAAGGTTGAGTCAACGGATTTATTCTTATTTGACATTTTTATCGCTTTAATACATTTTAAAATAATTGTAAATTCCATTGTGATGTTCGGGCGAGTGCCGTAGGCCACAGTATATACACACACTGTTAGAAAGTAGAAAAAGGATCAGTTATAACATCGGTGTCGTATGGTTTCTGTTGCATTGCATAATAATTCTCTCGACAGTGTCTAGAATTATGTCATCAACAGTCTACTGTATTTGGACCATAAACTTTGAATATGGGTCAAGATGTAATATAAGGACATACGGCTGTGTGTAAAACGTGGGAGCTGAGAAACTAGTGCAGCGCGCATCGTGCGCATTCATGATTAATTTACGATGTACTATGTTTTCTAAATCACCACCCTTCCTTTCAAAACACTAGTTAATTTATAAATAAAATCGCAATTATTTGCTCTCTAGAAAATCGTTGTAGGACGAAAACCTATTGTTCTCTCGGGTGTAAAATTAATCGTAGGTGCCAGACGAGTCCTTAACAAGCTTTCTGAACTGAGAGATGCGTTTGCTTGCAATGATTACCCTTCAGATTTCGAGAATGTTTATCTACCCCTTTCGGATACATTTTAGGTGTTAATGGAATTATTGTTTTTTCTCTGTTCCGCGGAGGCTTGTGCAGCTCACACGTTTGGGTTCGGCGGGTAGTCATTTGCAGGCAAAATAAACACAAAAGTTTAAATCAAACGCAATGGGTTTATATTCAGCAGTCGAGATTCAATAGAGCACCTTAAAACACAGTCCCATGAATAACTGTATAGAAACATATATAAATATCAAGGGAGTATAAAATGATTGACGTGTTCATATCTAGATAGTGGCGCTAAATTGGGTCTGTGTTGATTAGCACCTCGTCTGACCTTTTCCGTGAATATTTTATTTCTAAAATTCGTTTAGATCAATTAGCTTAACAAGTAATACATGTGCTAATTCTAAACGATTAAAAGGCTATTAAATTCGGCGAAAAAGATCTAGTATTGTGCAAATGCGTTGAACGATTTCCTTATGCAATGTTGGCAGCTGTGGTTCTTTAATTGTAACTATTTACATTTGAAAAAAGGGGCTGAACAAATACTCATAAACGAAATAGTTCACATACTTCATTAATCACTTCGATTTAAATACGAATCAATTTCGTCAAGTGCATTTCCGTCGATCGACAAAGACTTCGGTTTCTGTTTTGTTTGAAACATCTGCATTGTTTTCTTTTTTGGTTAAGACTAGAATCAGTTCATGGTTAACCTTAAGCCGTAATTGTCACGAATGGTTGAATAATTGCTGTAGACATAGATTCGGCTTTCGAACGGTTTAAACTAAATCCAGGTGATTTGAAAGCTGAGAACCGTATGTACTATGGTGACCACAGAGCAAAATGGAAACAGTGGGAGGCTGATATATTTGTGGTTTTGTTGACTGATCGTTTTCTATGTTATTTTCTGTAGGTGAGAAGCCATTTAAGTGTGAATTTGAAGGCTGTGACAGACGCTTCGCCAACAGTAGCGACAGGAAGAAGCACATGCATGTCCATACTTCAGACAAGCCCTATCTATGCAAAATGTGCGACAAGTCCTACACACACCCAAGCTCTCTACGGAAACACATGAAAGTCGGTATCTATTGATATCTATGTGATAAAAGATCACTTGTATTAATATCCAGAAAAGAAAGGACTGATGTGCTGATGGCTTTTCTATGCTCTTGTCTTCCACAGGTCCACGAGTCCTCCCAAGCCTCGGATTCCTCGCCAGCTGCCAGTTCTGGTTACGAATCATCTACTCCCCCGGTCCTGGTTTCTCCATCCACCGAACCCCAAAACAACAACTTATCTCCAGCCTCCTCTGCTGTGCACAGTAACGGTGGCATTTCCTCTAATTTTAATGAATGGTACGTTTAGATATTGCAGGTCCAAATGAGAAAGAGAGTGAGAGAGAGAGCTCAGCGTTTGTGCTGAATTAATTAAAAAGAAAAAAATAATTTAAACAGAACTTTCCCTAAAATGTGTATAAAAGGAAAACGGAGAACGCTATAATCATCATATAAGCAATAGTACCAGAGATTTCGCTGAAGTGAAGATCAAATGTTATTTATGTCCTACTGAACAAACCTTTTGGGTATTTTACAACTTTGTACATAAGGAATTGCTGCCTATCAGCTGAATGATACCTGGGATTCTTGATGTAGATTGTCCATTAAATGGTAGCTATGGATTTCTTTCTCGAGGTGACACACATTTCCTATTAGCGCACAAAATGGAAACAAAAAGGACAAAATAATGATTTCCTTCTCGTTGTATTTTAATGCTGAAAATCTATGTCACCTTTTCAGGGCGACCGATTGTAAAACTTCATGAAATCATATAAAATGGAAACTGTGCCAAAGTCAAGTTACAGTTCACAAACACAGAAACGCAGATAATTGCTTGTGAATGTATTTTTTTCCTGTTAGCTGGGGTTTATCTCGTGATGTTTTGTGCTTTGCAAGTTTGAATTGTGAAATACTATTGGAAGATTGTGAAAAAAGGTTGTGCCGTTAACTTTTGTAACAACGATATTCATTCTGTAAATAACCGCGTTACCATATTTATCCATTTGTAATTAAATTATGGTATTAACTTGCTACAGATGAAACGATATTTATAAAGAATGTTTCTTAACTATAAATATGTACAATTGTGAGTTAAACATGAAATCATTCAGATTTGTTTTTTTTATTTCTAGATAAAGAATGTTTTTCTCATTTCTTGTGCGATGTCCTGAGATCATTAACAGCATACATATATATAATAAAATGTGTTGCAAGTGTAAATGCTGCTGTTATTGTTGCTGTGTTATTATTATTTAAGTTCACCACTGATTTTAGTCTGCATCTTATTTGTTCACATGCCTCGGAGCCATTTTATCTAGAGTTACTAAACGGCATTTCGTTCCACGAACACAATGATATAAAACCACTCACCAACAGTGGAATACCCTTCACTGAGAGGCTTTGCAATGCAAAGTAATTAAACCACTTTAGAGTTCTGATAAATCTTTCTAATTACGAAGCATCCCGGCAAAACTAGAATAAACGCATGTTCCCCGTATTCAGATACATAGGGCATATCAATATTTTAGATCTATTTTTCATAATAATTTGCATTGGTGGTTTATGGAGCAGCGCGAAATATAAATATTTCGGCATATAATTCAAAACAGCGACACAGGCCATTCACTTAAATATCAATAGATCTGCATTAATATATATATATATTAGTATTTGGGTTGAGCGTTGTGGTTAATGTAATCGTGGGAGAATTAATCAAGAAAATAATCTAACATGTTAAATGTAATTACTGTGATGCCCTTTCTGAATCATTACAAGATGGGATTTAGTCATAATCGCTTGAACAGCACACACATACACGTATATATATATATATATATACGCACGAATGTAAGCGATAATGTCTGGCTTTGAAGATGGAATTCATTATGCCACAAAACCAGACACGTGTAGGAGGCAGCTTTGTTGTAATTTAAACAACTACACGAAATTGGCACAGATTGGAATCTAAGTTACTGGAGGAGGTTATGAATTCCTTACGCAAAAAAATCTGACAGATCACCGCATCTGCTGCTTGTTACCCAGGCTGGTGGAAAATATTACATTTTTTTCCAAATATGCTAAGAACCTATTCCCATTGAATATCTTGTACATACAATATTGGGCATTTGGAAAGGAGATCTTAGCGCCCTGCGGTGGTTGTGGGTTGCAGCGGATATAGAATAAAATGCGAACATTTTCTAACTTTTTTCCCCCAAAAATCGTAACGAAGCACGTCACTCCCCTTCGTGGCATTGGGAGCTGCTACCGATGTCAGATTTAAAAGCCGAAGATGAGTTAACTTTCAAAACATGACAATTTCCATTAGGCGTTTCTGCCATAATACGCTGCAAACAACACACACAATAAAATGCGCGGTGCCCGAGCGAGTGAAGGCTGACCTGTAGGTGTATTCCACTCGGATACACTTTCCCGCAAAGAGCGAATAAATGGAACCCAACTTCAAACCTGCCGACTGCACGTTTGCTGGGGCTGTTAATAGGCCGATGCATATTCGCCTGAAAACACCCAACATAGCCCTTTATGGAAGTTTTAAAAGAACCCGACAGAAAACCCAGACACATTAAAGCCTTTTAACGTGAGGTGGAGAAAGAGAGGCAGAGAACTTGAACTTGACTTTGAGCCAGTCAGTCGGGACTATTCTGGTTGCTTTTGCTTGGACTTCTGGTTAGGACTCAACACATCAATTAAACATTGTTGGAATCGTATATTTGTACGATTCGGAATTTCTGCTCTTGATGTCTGTGTTGCTTAAACGATATGTACGCGGTTAGGCAAATAGATTCGCCTTGAATGTAAATTATTTTGGAGCCGAAGGCTCGAAATTGTAAACGTATCGTTTTCACCCTCCCACCACACGGCCAAATAAACATTTTGAGATTGTGCCCAAAAAAGGAAATTGAACTGCTGAGGGATGTAAGTACTTTTTCCGGTTTTATTCCATCTCTAAATTAAAGCTGTGTTTTTGTGGTCAACGGAAGACACACAGCCTTTTACACTGATGCTAAGTGTTTAAAATACGTTTAAGACGTCGATGGTGAGAATCTACGTTTTTTAAAATTACTTAAAAGAGAATATTAATGTAGTAATTTCAAAATAACACGAGAAGGTTGATGATAATACGCTCCAAGATAGCGACACGTTGCGGCTTAAAATTTTGCGACTAATTTAAATTCATTATTGAGATAAATTTATCGTAATAATTATTAAATATATATCTTAATAAATAAAAGTTTTATGACAATTTGACTCTAAGATCGGATGTTCAGCATTTGTTGCCTCGGAATTGTGTTATTCTTGGCTCTAAAAGGGGTCTAAATGCACCAAGTCACCGAAAGAGTGATGATAGCACTGGAAGAACATTATGATATAATTTAAAATGTAAAGGGGCCGTAAAATGCTCTATAAACTACAGCGAGAGAGCCACCTGAGGGCACAGTGACTGTTGTATTGATAATTACAGGAGGATATGGCTCGTCCCTGTCACTCCAAATGGCAGCTCATAAATTATAAAGCCGACCTAATAAACATTCAATTGTAGTCTTCAAATCGGCAGATTTTACGGCACATTTCAAAGTTGTAAGACAATTTTAAGAGACAATTCTATGTAGACTGCTATTGATAGCCTATCGTATAAAGTTACAGTAAAAAATCATTGATGCATCGGTCTATAAAACTTGGTTGTTTATCTTTTGCGGTTGGAAGTATCGTTTTGTCTCAGAATCAGTTACAAACCCAGAGAGCAAGCAGGAACTTCAAAGACGTGAAATCAAAAAAACAAACTCTACAAATATTCTTTAATACTTCAAAATATTGTACCATTTCGCAATCTATTCTTCGATGCAAATTAAAGCAATGTCTCCAGCCCAATTAATTAAAGTCTGTCGAACACACATTCACTTGGGTTCGTTTAGTGGCGTAACCCTCCAAAATATGCAAACCCGTGTGAGGTGTAAAGCTTTACTTTATATTTTCCAGCCACGTTGCGCGCAGGTACAAGGGTTCATTTCAAAGAAAGTGTAAGCAAATGAGTAGTTTCCAAATGGAAATTAATTGTCGTGCATATACAAAGAGACACGGTAGCATGTTTTAACGATATGCATTAAATGCACATATATTCGTACACTTGCATATACAAGGAAGTTTATGTCTACATTTGTCCAGTATTATATTTCCGCCTACGCGTAACATCTTTATGTATGATCATACATACTCAGATTAAATAGCGGTTTGAATAATTAACATAGATAAACTGGTACAAATACTTAATAGGTAGGAACATTTCTGACTTTTTTTTAAAAAAAGTGAACTGTTTCCAGCATTGATCCTCAAATAATCTTCGAGGATTATGTTCCTAATATATGTGTTTAATTCACTCTCTTTTCTAATTTAGCAGCTGAATACCGCAATCATTAAAACAATATTAATACAGGGTGACCAAAAAGTTGTGATAACTACCTTATTATCTAAACAAAACTCAAAATATCACAATTTATTTAAGACTTATTAGACATTGTAATGGTATCACGACTTTTTGGTCACCCTGTATAAGGACATTGTTTATTAAAGATTAGTCAACTTGATTATGCAATCTTTGTGCCCATTCTGTTATTCTGTAAGTTTAAGATGAACTTCGGCTGAGCAGAATGTGTGCGTGGTGTGAGTCATTTGGTTACTTAAGTTCCCAATTAAAATGATCACAAGCTTGTGTTCGATAGCACACACATTATTTTCAATGGAAGATAAATTAATCTCTTTGACTATTCTATTATGCAAACGCTACTCGTTAATTAAAATGTGACAGTGGTTCGCCTGAAAAATATTACTGGTGCTAATGTGACTTGGGTGGTGGTGGGGGGAACACTTGATTTTCAGCAGAAAGAAAAAAATAGTCCATCGCTTCCTGCTGCCACACGCGATGAATAGGAAAATGAAGCTGTAAAAAAGATAATTATGAAGATGAGAATGGTCAATATAACGCTGATGGTGAAGATGGTGATGATGATGATGATTTGACAACTACAGTAAGGGTCAAAGGACAACCCCATGCAGTGCCCAGATATCTGCTCATTCCTGGCACACGCTGTTATGATATTGATCCATGAAGGAAAATAAACACGAAAGCTATACTGTTTGAGGTGAATACTGATTCTGAGGAATCTGAATTTTTATGTAGCTCTATTGATGCAAAAGCATTATCGATTAACCAAGCCGTATCTTATGTACTGGACTGTTCAAATGTCACTTTTATTGCTTGTATTTTCCGTGAACCTCAATTTATAAATAACGTACTTTAAACTTTGCATTTGAAAACCATGTTTGTCTCACGATTCAAAAGCGTCAGGTGCACCGCACACAATAACCAGCGCACATAAACACTTGGCAGGGTGCTGGGAATTCCTATTACACACAGACAAGACATTGCGCTTTATTGTTATGTTAATGCGTATTTATATCGATGGAAATATTACTGTCACAATGTCATTAATTCCTCAACAGGTATATTTGCGTTCTCTTTATTTGTGGATTTTATACGTTTTGTTAAAGTACTCATAAGTCTGCTTCTTGCCGTTTTAATATTCTGCAATATTTACAGTTTTGCAGGTTTGGATTTTTTTTTGCAAAGTCACTTTACTCTGTTTGCTACCTCAAAGCTTAACCACATCCTGTACAGGTTTCCAAACACAATTGTATTTGGTTTTTCTATACACACTTAATATATTTCCAACAGTGAACATTTTATAACAGGCTTTCAGCAATATAAAAAAGAAACATCAAGCATCATTGAGGTAGACAGTCCTTTTTGCGGCTTGGACACTGCTGAATTAAATTTACCATTGGTTTGCCTTTACAGTGTTACTCAACAATAATAAAATTAGACCATGTGAAGCGTTAAATGATCAATATCGCTACTTGGTATCACACTTAGGTATCTTCCCTCACAACCTTCCGCATCCACCTGCAGAGCCCCATCAAGCCCGACAAGTTTGTAGACACTGGCAAATACACCCTCACAATTAAGGTGTATTACTTTGGACGAGATACCGAAATATCAAGTTCATGGTCAAGGTTTCTTGACATTAAATCAAGCAAAAGCGTGCACGTCTCAATAGACATCTGCGTTCGGATCCCTAATTCACCAAATGTTCTGAGAAACATTATTTTTATTCTGCTTATTCGGGGATCATTCTGCTTATTCGGGA